CACCTATCTTGCTAACATTAGTTTCTTGAGAGCAATGACAAGGCAGATTCAGGATTTCCTGCAACCCCTTTGTTGTACATTATTCACCAAAGAAGACTGCTTAGACATGGGTTTAAGCCAATAGAAAGTCTTTATTAGCCAACCAGCAACTACACTGAATGTTCAGAATCCCAGTGTAGCCCGGAGCCTTTCTCAGGATGAGCTTTTAAGCATATAAGAAAGTGTACCAACTGATGGTTCATGTATATGGTGGTGGACTTTCCTTTTCTCCATCAGAGATCTTGGGTCAGATTAATCATTTTTGCCATCTGGGCTGAGGTACCTGGCTTGGGCCAAAATCATTTTGGCCAAAGAAACTATTGCAGCTCCTATGTTCCTGGTTTCATCTTCCATCTTCTGACAGTCAGGGATGAGCACCTCTGTCATCAGGCAAGAGGGTAGCCAAATCGATGGCAGTGGGTTTCTTAAACCAGACTTGAGAGTGAGCCAGCAGTAGGGACTGGTACTGGGTCACGCAGTCACTAGCCAGTCAGCATTCTGATGCTCCTCAGAGGAGGACATCAACCTTGCTGTGGGATGCAGTGAGGATAAGAACTTGACCCGTAGTTAACTTGTTCTCTTTCTTTCATTGAGTGACCAGCAGCTGCCACAGCTCTTACACAGGCGGACCCTCGTGTGGCTACAGGGTCCAGTCGTTAGCACAGGTATGTCACAGGGCATTTCCCTGGCCCCAAATCTGGGTTAAAACCCCTTTTGTCTCTTGTTTCATGGAGAAACAGATGAAAAGGTTTTGAGACATCTGGAAATTCTAGGGCTGGAGTGGAAGTCAGTGCTGTTTTTAAAGCCTCAAATACCTTTTGTTTAGAATCAACCAGATTAGGGGCTTAGTGCCCCCTCTTTTGTGCCAGTGTATGGCGGCCTTACTGTTTTCACAGACTGGTTTCCAGAAGCAGCAATATCTGGCTGCACCTAGGAACTCTGGATCCTGTCTCTTGGTCTTTGGAGTTGGGATCTGGAGGATGGCAGCAACCCAATGAGGTTTCTGTCCTGCCTGGGTCCTGCAGTCACTCAGTCCCAGAGAAACACACAGAGGTCCACATTAATTATCAATTGATTGACCTATTAGCTCAGGCTTCTTATTAACTCTTATAACTTCATTAACCCATAATTCTTATTTGTGTTAGCTATGTGGTTTGGTACCTTTTATCAATGAGGCATTCTCATCTTTCTTTCTCTGTGTCTGGGTGATGACTGTAGACTCAACCTTTCCTCTTCTGAGAATTATTCTGTTCTTGTTGCCCCACCCCTACTTTTTGCCTGGCTGCTGGCCAATCAGCATTTTATTAAAGCAATGCAACTGATAAATCTTTACAGGGTACAAGATCATTGTCCCATAGCAACCCCCTTTTTTTCAAAACAAGAAATCTGAATCGAATCTCCTTTGTTTAGCTTTCTTCCTGACCATATAAGCTACTGGGCATATAAGCTAAATTTAGATGTGTATCTTATCCAATTAGTTACAGCTTACTCATGCTAGTAACTGTAAGGAGATTAAAAAGGGATATTTTAAAAGTCAAAGAATACTAGCACACATGGGTACTCTTACCCAAGATGGTGGTGGGGTCAAACGGTGGTTACCCATGTGTTTGTATTTCTTCAGAGCTGTTTTAGTCTGGAGTTATCTTAAAATGAGTACACATGCACACAGGAACATAAATTTACAAGCTTACATAAGTATACTGTGCCCCATTATTCTAACAGACAGACAAACAAAACACTTTTAGAAACCTGTGTCATTTGACCAGCTTAAAATCCTGGTGTAGTTTAGCAGACACTATAGGGGAAACCTGTGTCAGCTGACCAACTTAAAATCCTGGTGTAGTTTACCAGACACTGTAAGGGGAACCTGTGTCAGCTGACCAACTTAAAATCCTGGTGTAGTTTAGCAGACACTCTAAGGGGAACCTGTGTCAGCTGGCCAACTTAAAATCCTGGCATAGTTAGGTGGCAGAAGCCAGGAGAGTGGAAGGACAGAGGTAAATAGATTTGGTTTAGAGAATCATTAATCAGCTAGAGGCAGGAAGGAGGAGTGGGGAAGGAGAGCAGAGAAAAGGGGACAGGAGCACACATTTAGAAACCACAGGCTGCAAAGAAGCAGGGAAGGAGAAACAGGGAGGGGAGCAGGACATAGAAGTGGGGGGAAGCAGGGAAGTGGGGTGGGAGCATGCAGCAGAAACCATGGGCTTTTGGAGCTTTGTTTGCTTTGCGTTAGATGCCAGATAGCCCCAATTTGAAATGATTTTTGTTAAAGCTCACTGACGGGCATTTGAGTAATTGACTTTGAATCACAGGAACCCATCTAAAAGCCCATGCCTATTGGGACTCAAGTCTATCACAGTGTATCCACTAGGACAACTCTTGAGTCAAAACGGGTACACATACACAAGAAATGAGTGGCGGATGTCTCCAATCACCCACGTCTCATCTCAGCTAAGCCCTATTTAGCCACATGGGTCAGACTTCCAGCGCAGCCATGACTTCATTGGAAAGCCTGAAAAGCGATGGGTCCCCTAACCCTAGAGGCCATGTACTCCAAAAGGGGAACTCACTGAGTCAAAGCTGATGTTAGCCTGGTGGAGAGTGTGCAAGAAGGGTGTTTTGCAGCAAGTGGCACTAAGCCTATGGGAAAATAGACCCCTTGGTGGGAAACCTCCATATATTAGAAATAATTTTAAGATGAGCCTCTCTGCTGATGCAAATATTCTAATCAGACCATATTAGACCAAATAAAAGATGCCTACATTTACTGAAGTGCTCCTGGGTGGCTGGGAGCATGGCAAGGTGTTGACTGAGGTTTCTGTCCTGCCCAATCTGATGGAGGAAGGTCATTGGTTAAAAAAAAAAAAGAAAGAAACTGCTTGGCTGGCCCTCATAGGTTAGAACATAGGTGGGTGGAGTAAGCAGAACAGAATGCTGGGAGGAAGAGGAAGTGAGCTCAGACTCGACAGCTCTCCTCTCGGGGGCAGATGCCTCAGAGAGACGCCATGCTCCCAGCTCCCGGGAAGATGCACATGATGAAGCTCCGACCCAGGATGGACGTAGGCTAGAATCTTCCCGGTAAGACTGGTGCTACACAGATGTTTAGAAATAGACTAAATTAATATGTGAGAATTAGCCTAGAAGAGGCTAGATAGAAATGGGCCAAGCAGTGTTTAAATGAATACAGTTTGTGTGTTGTTATTTCGGGCATAAGCTAGCATATGGGCAGCCGGGGTGCTGGGGACGCAGCCCCGCCGCTCCTATTATTACACCCAGTCCTTGTGGGAAACCACATAAAACCCGAAGACTACTGAGACTGTTCTTGATGTAGAACTCAGATATCTGGGCTATCTGCTACTTTTGGAGATTTCTCAGGTGGTCTTACTTGATCAAACCTAATTTTTTCTTAACCCATAATAAATCCACAGCCTCTCATTTCCTGTGGAAACAAAAGGAAAACCTCTTCTCCAAAGTGACATATCTTTTGACTTAAAGTTTGAAGTCAAAACATTTTCAAAATATATAGGTTGGATTAATCCAGCAGCATTTATAATTAAATGTCTTTTAGCGGCTGTTGCTCCTTCCTCCACAGTCAAACAATTCAAAGACAACACAATAATAAAGAGTACCAGACTCTTTGTGTATTTTCTATCTTTATGTGGCTTTATTTTGAACTCTATTTCTTTTTTTAAAACTCTATTTTTTATTTTTAATTTTTGGTCTTTTGATACTAGCGAGGCTTCACTGTGTATCTTTGGCTGTCCTGGATTTCACTCTGTAGACCAGGCTGTTTTTGAACTCACAAAGATCTGCCTGCCTCTGCCTCCCAAATTCTGGGATTTAAACTGTGTGCCACCACACCCAACTTCTCTCTGTCCCTCTCTTTTTTAAGGGACATTATCCTTTTTATTTTCTCTCTCAAGCCTACATATATTTTTAAACATACTCTAAATCATTTAGAGCTTTTCTTTGTCTGAATCTAACCTTACTGTTTATCTTTCATTTTCTAACCACATGAGTCATTAATTTGCTAAGAAATATGGTTAGGATTAGTGCTGTGACTTTGATGGATGGATCCACCTTATCCCTTGGCTTGCTGAGAGTCTAGCCTTTTGGTGGAGGTATTGTCTGGAACCATGTTTATTGCCAGAAATCTATGGAGTTCAAGGTCCAAGCCACAACCAAGAAGCATGCTGTTGACTATTCATAAATGCCATTTAAATGTTTGCTGGTAGGTGTTCTTAAAACATCTGCAAGGTTTTTGCAGCTAAAGCTGAACCAGGAAGCCCCTCTTAAATGAGACACACTTGCCTCTAGCCAACAGAGCCCACCTGAGAAAATGCTGCTACCAAGAACCCATGCTTAATTCAGTTCTTCTGTGTCTAGAATTTTTGGCACACCAACGTAAAACCTGACAAAGCTTAAAAAAGATTTCTAGACACAAAACAACAGAGTTAAGCATGGCTTAACACAGTGGCTCCTTTATGAGAGGTTTTCCTGATTCAACAGTAGCAGAAAAAGCCATGCAATTTTGAAATGGGCCATGCTTCCAGTGTGAACTCTGGCTCTCTCAGGAGGCTGAGCACTTAAATGGGGACTGTGGGCAGTGTGCTGCAAGTTACTTGCTAGCAGCGTGGGCCAACTAGTTACCAGAGTTGAGATGGTGAGCATGGCTTCCACCTGGCAGTCTCAGAGGCAGTGAATGTACTTCCACTATGATGGACTGGGCAGAACAAGCAGGCAGGGCCGTATTTGCCATAACAATGCTGCAGCTTAGGTTTTTAAGAAGTGCTTAGCATTTTAAGAAGCAGTTTTTTTAACCCACAAACCTATGGACACCTGATTTTCGATAAAGGAGCTAAAAGTATATGTAGGGTTAAGCCCAGCCTTAGGGGGCATGTCCACCTCAGGTGAATGTTTACCTATAAATCTGCTGGGCGTGCAAGCAGCCTCCCCTTCTGCTTCCTGTTCTCTGGGGGAACCGTGGTACTGTAAGTCTAATTTCCCCATTAAAGCTGTGTATATATTTTACAATCTGTTTTCATTCATTTACACGGTTACATTTTGGCGTCCAATGTCGGGCAATCTTGCCCCCGCCCTGGAACAGGGGCGCAAGCTCACCCTTGAGAGCAAGATTAGCTACTGGAGCTCAGGAAGCACCTTCCAAGTGCTTAGCCTGCTAGCTAACACAGCACGCTCCCGGGTGCCGCTTTTTAGTTCGTGACTCATGACTCGGGCCCCAGTGCCGAGTCTGAGATACACTCGCCCACACACACCCATTCCACCCCGCCTGCTTGCTGGAGCAATTAACCCCTCCCTGCCTGCCTTGGCGTTTGGAGCGGAACCCCTATAGCTCAAGTACCTGGGGTTTTGCAACAAAAACCTCCACAGCGGCAGATTTGGTCTGATTCAAAGTGACCCCTTCCGCGACCACTCTAACTCCTCAGGCAGAACAATAAATTTCGGTTTTGAGTTGCTTCAGACTGGCTCTCCACGTGGACTCAAGTGGACTCTTTCGCCACCACTGGCAGGAACCGGTCATTGCAGGTAAAAAAAAATTTCTTTTATAAATAAAATGTCTGAAAACATTACAATTCAGGACTTTAACAGCCTTTTTGAGTGTACCATGTGGGAGATTTTACAAGAGGTGTCTAGCACCCCACATCTATGGATCTTTCTGGGATTCGTAGTTTTCCTTGGTACTATGTGGTTTGATAATAGAAATATGATAAAGTCTTTACGAGATGAATCCAGGATTCTTAAGGCAGAGGTTGAATGTTTAAAAACTATTGAGAATGACAACAGTCTTCTCAAGAATCAGTTTGAAGTTCTCCAGGAAGAGAACAGATCTTTGTTTAACATGACTCGGTTAACTGAGCAAATTTTAGAAAAGGTACAGGCTGATGTTAAGGAGAAATTCATTACTATGGAAGAAGGAACAGCTGATTTGGATCGTAAGCTTCAGCAGTCCTTTCTGTAGGAACTGAAACATTAACTGAGAGAATCAAAACTGCTGAATGTGACAATCGAATTTTGTCTAAAGCTTATGACAGATTGGCGGAAAGATTGTCAATACAAGAAGGCACGTTTTATGCCATAAAAAATATGGTCAAAGATGAGAAGTTATCTCCAATGGACAAACTTCATACTTTAGAATCCTCAATGAAGGCTTTGGAACATAATTCTGGACAGGAGATATAGACATTGCAGAAGGCAATGGTGAATAGAATTGAAAAAGATTGAGGAATTTCTAAATTCTGATGAAGAAGAGCAAAGGGTAGAAAGGCAAATTTTAACTACATCTGTGGGTAAATCCCTCCAGAACAATTTCCACAAAGTTCTACCTACAGCTCTACCTGCCTTTCCAGTAATAACAACAGAGAAGGTGATTGGTTCCAGAAACCCTAGGGTCATCAAGGAAGATACATGGGAGCCTGTCTGTATGAATGATCTCAAAGAAATTAAACAGGCTGTCATGACTTTTGGGATGCACGCCTCTTTTGTTAAAGAGATGCTAAAATCTTGGGCCACAACAAGCAGAGCAACCCCCTTGGACTGGCTTCAGCTGAGCTCTGCGGTACTTGAGAGTGGGCCGCAATTGAAATGGAAATGCTTATTCAGGCAAGAGGCTAGACTTTTAGAACAGCAGGAAAAAGTGAAGGGAATTGACATTTCCCTAGATAAAATTCTAGGTGAAGGGCTATTTTCCGACCCTCAGGAACAAGCTAATTTGGATGAAAACACACTCTCCATGTGTACTACAGTAGCCTTAAGGGCTTGGGACAGGGTACAAGACCCAGGACAGAGAATGGAATCATTTGTCAGAGTTAAACAGGGTCAGAGAGAACCCTTTAGTGACTTTTTACAAAGACTAACTAAGGCTGTATAAATAGGGATATCTGACCCAGAAGCAAGACGTATAATGATTGAGTCTTTGGCTTATGAAAATGCAAATGTGGAAAGCAAAAAGATTTTGGGGCCTTTAAAGCTCAGATCAGCGCCCTTAGAAGAATGGGTCTTGCATACACTGAATGTTGATACATTTGATTATGGCACAGAAGCATAGGTAGAAGAAGCAATTTCCAATGGTAAAAGGAGACACCAGAATACCAAATGTTTTAATTGTGGCAAAATGGGTCATATGAAAAGGAATTGTAGACAACAGATTTTCAGAAATAATAATAATGCATCTTCTAGAAATAACAGAAATAGAAGGACTCAGCCTTCAGGTTTATGTCAAAGATGTGGAAAAGGCAGACATTGGATGAATGAATGTAGATTTACAAGAGATAGACGAGGCAACCTGATACAGATGGGAAACATGAGGGGGGCCTCACAGGCCCCCATGGCAAACATGGTTCAGTCATTTCCAGTTACTGCAGAGAACGTGCCTCGTCAGGACAATTAGGAAGCACCATGCCCACTGTTACAAGCAATAATGATCAGAAAGATGAGTTACATGTGTTTTGGCAAACTTCTATAAATGATCAAAGACCTAAGCTGAGAGTGTGTGTAAATGGCATTTTATTACTGGCCTGCTAGACACAGATGCTGATGTAAGTATCATTACCCCAGAATCTTGGCATCCGTATTGGGCTCTTCAGGATGTAAATGTTCAGCTCCTGGGAATTGGAACCCTATCTCGAGTAAGGCAGAGCATGAAATGGGTTGAATGTATAGGGCCAGAGGAACAAATAGGAAATTTAAGGCCATATGTAGCCAATATTGCAATGAATTTATGGGGTCATGACCGAGTACAACAATGGAATACCCAAATTAACATTCCTGTTACTTCTAGAGCCTATATTTCTGAGAATAATTTTAAAAGATATTACAAATGGAGAAAACCAGCCATTCGGGCTGTTCAAGAACAAGCAATTGATGTCCCTTCAGAGATACCAACAGCCTTGCCTCTAAAATGGTTGACTGAGAAACCAATACAAAGCAATGGCCTTTAGCTGAGGAAAAGTTACAGGCTTTAGAACAGCTGGTACAAGAGCAATTAGATGCTGGACATATATAAGAATCTACCAGCCCTTGGAATTCTCCTGTATTTGTGGTTAAGAAAAAATCAGGAAAATGGAGAATGGTGACAGACTCAGAGCTATCAACAAGGTTATTCAACCTATGGGCTTTCTGCAATCTGGAATCCCTTTGCCCTCTTTATTACCAAAAGGATGGCCTCTCATAGTTATTGATTTAAAGGATTGTTTTTTCACTATACCTTTACAAAAAGAAGATAGAGAAAAATTTGCCTTCACAGTGCCTACTAATAGTAATTCTCAACCTTCAAGGAGGTACCACTGGGCCGTCCTCCCCAGTCCCACACCTTAGGGGGCGTGTTTGCCTCGGGCTAATGTTTGCCTATAAATCTGGCCAGCGTGCTCCCAGCCTTCGCTTCTGCTTTCCTGGTCTCCATGAGAACAGTGGTTCTGTAAGTCTATTTCCCCATTAAAGCTGTATATATTTTTACAATCTATCTGCATTCGTTTACGCCGTTACATCCCACAGTATGTACCATGAGAGCTGGGTTACAGCCATGTGCCCACAACAGTACCTATACCATGAATGCTGGGTAATAGAAAATCCGTTCCAAAAGTACATACAGTATCAGTTCTGGGTTATAGCTATAAGCATACCATTCTATATGAACAATGGATACCAGCTTATTGGCATGATCCACCCACAGTGCATGCAGCTTGAGTTTGGAGTTCATTATGGCACAGTACATTTCCAATGAGAACATGGTTGAGGACACAAGTCCACTACACTATTTTCAATAAGAATGATGGATTGATGGTTTGAGTCACCATAAGTGCTGCAATACAGCTGTCCAGTTCCCATTGTAAATGCACGATTAATGCTGAGAGCTAGACCTAACAGCACCACAGTACATGCTGGGATGTATTATGACCCTGTCATAGTACACCACCATGTGTGGTTGGAAACATGTAAGCCCTCCACAGTACATGCACATTGAGTGTTGGGATACAACCACGAGCCCACGATAGTGCTTGTACCATGAAGGCTTGGATATAGGCATGAGACCCTTGCTGTACACACACAACTTGTGCTCAGTTACTGGTTTGAGTCTCACACATAATATTCACAATGAGTGCTGGATTTTAAGCATGAGCTTCCCTCTAATGTGCTGGGATCATGGTTGTATCTAGCACTCATGGTTCATGTCCTGCTGGATGCTCTTACTTAAAACCAAGAATTCATTGTTCATGAATTATTGTGGGCTTATGGGTGGAAACCAGCACTGAATGTGAATGTACTGTGGGAGACTAAGATGAGTCTCACAGAACTCATGGTGCATGTGCTGGGGGAGGATCATGCCTAAACTCCAGCAATAATGTGAATGTACTGAGCGAGACTGAAGAACTAATGGTTTATGTATGATGGAGACTCACATAGCTAACCTATCACTCATGGGGCAGGTACGTCAGAAGTTCATGTCTATATCCCACCACTCACTGTGAATGCACTGCCCCAAATGCAAACCAGTAGCCCAGCACTTCCACTGCATGCACTGCAGGAGGCCGACACAACCTCAGCAGCACTCATGGTGCATATCCTGTGTGACTGACACTTGTACCAGCAAGCATGGCGCGTGCACTGCAAGGTGCGTGCAACAGTCTTATGAACCAGCTTCCAGGCTGCTGACAGCACTGAAGGGAAGTCCACAGTGTAGCACAAACTGAAACTTCTTTATCTGAGGGCTTAGGAAATGTACACTCAGACCTATTCTGAGGGATTCCTTCTTTATTCTCTCATGGTGCTTTCATGATGCCCCTTTGTTACCCTCCCTGCTTTCTCCAGCTCTCATTCTAACTCTATCTTTACTCTTGATGTTTTGCTCCTGATTCGCTCATGCAAGATTTATTCTTCTAGTCCATTTTAACACCTTCTCTCATGTTGTTTTCCTCTGATGCTCCAAAGTTTCTTTGTTCTTCACAGCTTAGATATCCAAAAAAAATTTCAAGCA